CACTTAGAGGTTCTCTTGTCTTTTCTCCAACATCTCTACCCCTCTTCAACCTAAGAAACTGCTATCCTGCTTCTGTCTGATCGCTGTGGATCAGCGGTATCCATTCTAGAGTGTCATATAAATAGAATCGCGGGGAGTGTATTTTTGCGAGCCTGGCCTCTTTCATTCAGAAAACCATTTGTTTCATCTGTCCCCATCGCTTTACACGTCCACAGCTTGTTCCTTCTGTCACATAGCATTCCATGTGTGAATGGACTGTGCGCTGACCAAACCACTTCTTGACAGTGACTGAAGCTGCTTTGAAACATCTAAGGATGAATGTCTCTTGTGTAAGCACCTACTACCTTTCCTGCCTTTTTCTTCATGGCGGTACTCACCACCGTACAGCACACTGTATACTTTCTTTTCCTGGTTTGTTGTCTGCCCTGTTCACCAGAATGTAAACAGGCAACGGATTTCTGTGTCCTGTGTGTTGCCGCATCCTTGGGATCTAAAACAGTGTCTAATGTGTGGCAGACTTTTAGTAAGTATTTGACAGATGAAAAAACAAACGGATGGATGGATGGATGGATGAACATCCTTTCTAGATTCCACCACCATAAAAAGCTGTTGGCAAAAAGCATGCCATATTCCTGCTAGCTAAGGTCAAGAGCATCAAAGGCTCTGAGGGAGGAGAAAGTGACTACTTCTGAGCCAGCCCTCCCTGCGGACACCAACCGTCTCCCCAGCCTGAGTAGTCTGCTGAGGCCCCAGGGCTCTGGGCTGTCTCCAGTGGCACTGGTGCTGCTGAAGTTGAGCCTTCCATTCTCATATCCCAGGGCTGCCCGTCTCAAATGCCTGTCCTTGCTCCCATCAGTGACCCAAACCTTTTTGCTTCCCTGAGTGGATTAAACTGTCAAGTTTCCGGGTGTTTGCAGAGCAACGGGAGAGCTGCACACAGTAATGCAGTTTTATTTACAACATAACCGGCTCGGCAACATCACTGGATCCTGAAAACACAGAACAATTTTCAGCCCCATGGGATTTCGAGGATAGGATTTCCATAAAAATTAAATATTGATGAATCTTATCTCCCTTCCAACTTTCAGCTCTCCCATGCCCCTGTCCCCACTCCAACCTTCAGTGAGAGAAAAAGACAGAGAGAAAGGGGTGGGGGAGGGGAACAAGTTGAAAAAAGCCAGGCAGAAAGGCAAGCGGAAAGCCTGATCATGGTGTGGGGTTGTCAGAAAGTGAGGAGAGCTACTTAGGCCTGCATCCTAGAATAGGATGGATGCATCGCCTGGTCTTGAGCCTACACCTGCCTGGGATGCAGACCTGGGAGGATAGGACTGAGCCTGACCTAGGAGTGGGCATCAGGAAAGGACCAGGTCTTGATACAGAGACTATGGCTCTGTGGCGTGCAGGGAGTCATGAGCAAAGGCCTGGCCTGGGGCTGTGGATGTGTATATTCATGGGAGTGGGATCTAGGGATCTCCTCTCTTTGAGAGAGAACTCAACAGCTGTGATCATGGAAATGTGGGGAAGGCTCAAAGAACTGGCTAGCGCCTTCATCTGCAACACCTCCAGCACCCACTCGGTGTAAATTTCTCACTTAACAGGCCCTTTCCACACATCCAGCCTCAAAATGCCAGCAGCTCACACTAAACATCCATCTTGTGGTCACAAGAAATGTCCAAACGTGATGGCTTGGGGGAAAAATCAGTGTCTCCAGGAGATTTATGGTTATCAGTAGTGGCGGTATGGTTTTGGGAAGACTTGAGTCCAGGGGCAGCAGACCAACTAGACCAGCTTCCCAGAGAGTACCTTTCATGAAATCCAAATACCATTAGACAGAAGAACTGGTGAAGTCCCACCCAACCAGTAGGAGCCAAGGGCTTGACATCCACACACAAAGAACCAGCTTCTCAAACATGTCCCACCAGCAAAGGAGTCAGGGTATGCGGAGAAATAACCATTGTCACAATCACCGTCTGGACAATGAGCTACTCAAGAGGCACCACAAAACATAAATTGTGACATCACTGGATCTGGGCCACACTCTTGTAGGCATTCTTACCACATTCAGCACAAAAGCTGGAGGATGGGGGTGACAGGACTAGCCAGCATCACAAATGGAAAAAAAATTAGCAGGCAGGGACTAGGACTCAAATGATCACAAATTTAAGTCCTTCTTTGGACTAACCTGAGAAAGACAAGATGCAGTTGGAAAGTTCATTATGTAAGCCTACATAGGAAAGCACAGATCCTTAGCTCCCTTGACAACACAGCTCAAGGAAACAATTACCAGTGTGCTCACAGGTAAGAAAAGAAAACGAAGAGTACAAAGGAAATACGGAAGTGAGTCGAGATAGCTCCATTCGCAAAGCGCTTGCCTTGTAAGCATGAGGGCCTGAGTTCCAGAACCCGCATTTAAAAAGGGCGGATGTGGTGGTGCACACTTGGGATTCTGGTACTATGGTGGTAGAGTCTGCTTGATCCCTGAGGCTTATAGGCCAGCAAGCCTAGCCTATTTAGAGAGTTCCAGGCTAATGAGAGACCCTGACTTAATAAAACCCAAGCTGGGTGACTTCTGAGGAATGACACTTAAGGTTGTCCTCGGGTCACCACATGCATATGTATGTGTGAACTCTTGCACATGCGTACTTGCTTGTGAGCACACACATGCACACACATAGAAGACACGAGAAAGAAGGAGAGAATGGAGGGAGAGATCGGAGAAATGATGGAAAGAAGAAGGAGGGCAGAGAAAAGGGAGGGGAAGGGAAGAGAGGGGAAGGGAGGAAAGGAGAGCAGAGGGGAGGAGAGGGGAGGGGAGGAGAGGAGAGCAGAGGGGAGGAGAGGGGAGGGGAGGAGAGGAGAGCAGAGGGGAGGAGAGGAGAGGAGAGCAGAGGGGAGGGGAGGATGGAAAGCCACAGAGCCACAAAAATCACAGCACAACAACAGAAATGTGCAGGCCATATTAAAGAAGAGGATGGATGTAAGATGCCATGACCCAGTGTTCATATTAGAAACAAAGCCCTTGCACACATACCTAGAATAAGGTCAAAAGGCTGCTATGTGTTTAGCTGTTTTCTTTTCTGATGCAGTAAAGTTACAGGTTAAGTTTTATTTCTATTTTTGTACCTTCAAATTTTCTGTAACAGATGTTTTTACATTTGCAGCCCTCTAAAACAATGAGTGTTTTATAAGCACATGCAGAGTTCAATATCACAGGTTCTGTATGGGTTTTTAAATGACTCTGCTGTGTGCCACACTAGGGATGGGGCCAGGGTCTCATGCATGCTAAGCAAGAGCTAAGTGAGCCACATCCATGGTCCTTGCTTTTTTGAGATCAAGTCTATTGTGTAGTCCAGGCTAGTCTCAAACTCACAATCATCCGGTCCCTATGCTTCCCAAGTGCTAGGGTTGCAGGCATATGCCACCATGTCTGGCCTACAGCACCGGTCCTGAGCTGCTCCTGGAAAGCACACATACAGCCCAACAAAAGAAAACTCTCTATGTCAAGGGTCACAGGTCCCAGACTCCCACAGAACCCACCACTGGCACAGATGTGAGTGCTGCAAGGTTGTTGGGGGTCTCCCTGGGGTAGAACTCTCCCATCCACTGGGACTCAGGGGGATTTAGTCAGAGCAAGTAAACTGGGGGGAAACACGGGCTCAGGGGTCATGCTTTCCTTTCCAGTTCGCCAGGCATTATGACCGGGGACAGACATACCTTATTAACCTGCCTGCAGACAGTGTCAGACTTCACTGTTTCCCATTTTAGAATCCTCACTCCCACAACAGTCTCTGCTCTTGCACAAATATCAGTCTTCAAATTAATTACCCTAAACGGAACCAGAGCGATGAAAGTATCTAACCCCCACCCGGCCGCTTCCCACCTTGCACGGAATGAAGGAGGCGTCAGGATCTTGAAGGGGACTGAAAAGGAGCAAGCTTCTTTCTGTCTCCAACGTTGAATATCAGAAATTATACAAGACCATTTTACAGGGCTTTGAGAATGCATTTTTTGGGGGAGGGGCAGCTGGAGAGATGGTTGAGTAGTTTAGAGCCCTTGAGACTGTTCCAGAGGTCCCAAGTTCAGTTCCCAGCTTCCATGTTGGGTGGCTCACAACTGCCCAGCAGGGGTTCTAATGTCCTCTTCTGGCTTCTGCAGGTACTGCATTCACTGGACATATCTGTCTCATACATAACCTTAAAAAATGCATTATTTTTCTTCTGTGGTGTAGCCACTGGTAAGGAGCCTATGCTACTGAAAGCAATCCTTCACCCAGGATCCTGTAGTGATCCTAATGAACTTCATGTCAACATAAAGATGTGACAGTGGAAGAGACACTAAGTGGGAAGAGAAAGGGGAGCAGCAGAAAAGAGGGGGGAACGGAGAAAGTGATGGGGTGCCTATGACAAAAATATGCTACCTGTCCTGTGAAAACACCAGAGTAAAATCCATTATTATATAGAATTAACATATGCTAGGAAAAACGGATCATTGCAGGCTGAGTTTTGCTCCCAAGTGTTCTTTGTTGTTCAGTTACCTTCCTGGAGTGTCTTAAATCTGTGCTGGCTAACTGATCTGAAACTAGGGAACTTTCTTTCTGAGCACAAAAAGAATCTTTAGCTAGTACCTGGGAAGCAGTGGTGCCGAGGGAGGGTCTCTCTCTCTCTCTCTCTGTCTCTCTCTCTGTCTCTGTCTCTGTCTCTGTCTCTGTCTCTCTCTCTCTCTCTCTCTCTCTCTCTCTCTCTCCTGCTTCCAAGCACCACCTCTCACATCTCCTGCTATGGGCTCACACCCTCAGGCTTAGCTCTGCCCCCCTGAACACCCTCCCCCCAATGTCTGGACAAGTTCTCGATGTCTGCATTACAGTGTACTGTATAGTTATGGCCATTCCCACTGCGTGTGGCATCTAAACTTATTTTCTGGCCCAGTGAAGATAGTGAAGATGTGATGAGGCTGGCACTGGTCAGCCCTGCGGTGACACTGCCACTGGCCTTTCTAGGGGAGGAAGCACTTGGACTGGGGACAAGAAAGTACAGCCAAGTGTTCTGCCGCTGCTGTCCCAGCACCCACTCACTTTGTACAGGAAGGACGTCAGGAAACTACTCCCTGCAGAGGCCATGGGCAGGCCAACTTCCAGTGCATTCTCCACTCCAATGCACTGAGGAGACTTTACTGGCTCTGTTCTGGACACAACTGGACTCCCTTACTCCAGAGCCATATCATAGGTTGGCTTCTGTGGCAGTTTTGTCAAGTGTCTCCAAGGCTGACCCTGAAGAATGCTGCCTCCTAGGAGGATCTATGGAGAACTCTACTGGCCAGATTCACTCTCTACCCACCCAGAATTTGTCACCCTCCCCCCAGGTGGGTACCCCATCCTCTCAAGTGGATTTATCTCATGCAGCACCTCTCAGCTTGATTCACTCTCTACCCACCCAGAATTTGTCACCCTCCTCCCAGGTGGGTACCCCATCCTCTCAAGTGGATTTATCTCATGCAGCACCTCTCAGCTTGAGCCCCTCCTCCATCAGCTCCACTCTTCTCTGTGGTCAAAAGCATCCTGCCTACAGATGGAGAGTGTCCTGCTACTCATAGCACCCCTCCCGACTACACCATCAGTAGCTTCCTGTTTCCTGTCGGGGAATATTAAAACAAAAAAGAAAACCACAACCGGCTCAGCATTAAGTCAGACACCCAAGGATCTTTGCAACTTTTCCACACCCTACCTTTCAAACAGACTTCCAGCTGCTTCTTCTTCCAATGGACCGTCGTGGTCATCACAGAGTGGCTATCACACAGTGACCATCAAAGTCCATTTCCCGTATCCATCTGCTCACACTGCCTCAGGTGCTCCAGCTCGTCTCCTCTAAGTTACCTCCATCTCCTTTAACCACTAGCCTCACTAAGCCGTGCATCTTGGCTCCTCCCCAGCCATAACTTAACTTTGCAGTATGCTAAGTCTCACCCATTGCTGGGTTCTGCTGGCACCCAGGACACGGTTTTACCTCTGCAAACATCAACCTATGCAACTGAACCAAATCTTGCTGAATATATTTTGCTAAAAGCCACTTTTAACTTAAACACCGTAGAGGGTGACTCTTTCACAGCTGCAAACCCCTGCAGCTCTCAACAATGGGACTCAAGGAAATGTCCCCTCCTGCTCCATCCTACAGGGGTCTTGGACAAGAAATGAGTGATCTGATTCCCACACTTGATGCTCTGAGGATACGGGACACATCTGAGAAGCCCAGGCACCTTTTCCATGCGACTCCGATGAGCCATGACTGATGCAAACGGTAGAACTAAGCTGGTAACTCGCCCTTGAGATGCATCTGCAGGGGAGTCAGACAAGGTGCTAAGGTGCCAAATGGCTTATGATACTGAGAGCCTGCGGGGATCTTCTGGCACACTTCACTGTAAAACTGTAGCGATGTGGATTTGTGCCAGTAAATATGAAGGAGAGCTGAAAATAGCAAGGGGTTTCTCGTCTTTAAGTTATTGTCTGCAACCACCAGGCAGAACTCTCTGGGCTCTACAAGGCAGTCCAGGGGGAGTCACATCTAGAATACTGGAACATTTTCCTAGGACGCCCCCTCCCTAAAGAAGGAGAACCCTCCAGGAGTGGTTATGCCCCCTCCTACATCTCTGTTAAGAGGTATAAAGTTAGTACAACCTTTGCCAAGGGCAATCTGGCAGCAGAGACTGAACAACAAAGATACCTCCTGAACCCAGCATTGCCTGGGAGAGATTTTTGATTTTTTTCTGCTTTCTTTTCCTTACAGATTCACTCATACAAAATGACCTAAACACAGTCATTGCAGCACTGTTTGTAAAAGCAAATGACTAAACACAATCTAAAAGCTGAACAGTAGGAGATCGGTTAAATAAATTATAGGACATCTGTGAGGCTGGGAAAGATTGGAGTTAGCTTTCTAAACCCATATGGAGTGATCTCTAAGGCGGGTGGTCTGGTAGAACAGGGCCAGTTCAGCAGAGTGCAGGGCCTGTGTTACCGGCAGCTGTGAGATCTGTAATGGACCAGTCTAGGTTGCAACTGATTGAATATTCAGTTTTTGAAAGTGGCTAAGGAAATGAGCCGCCTCCTAGGGAGGAAACTGGGTGGGAGAGAGGCAGGAGTGAGCTGACCTGCCTTGGTATCTCTACTGTGTTTACTTACAGTATGACTTACTCAAAGCTAAGCAGAGGGGTCCAAGCCTGCAGTCATGGCGACCGCATTTGCTCTTTTTCCCATTCCTTTTCTTGTCTCTGCCTCACCTTCTGTCACAAGGAGAGGTTGCAGTGTCTGAGAGCACAGATGGTGGAGTCAGGAGCCCTGGCTATGCCTGTGTACAAGCTTATCCCTCTGCAAACCTGAGCTGAATCCTATAGCCACCAGGGAGAAGAGGAGGCCTCCTGCTGAGAAGACTGAAGCAGATCGTCTTTGGAAAGGCCACGGCCCCTCCAAAGCTGCTGGGAAGTCTGCCTTTACCTGCTCTAGGCCTGGCATTCTACATTCAGAAGGAAGTTGGGGTAGGGGGGCCATGGTGAAACAGCTCAAACTTCAGATGCATCATTTCCCTGTAGCTCAGGCAGGGCTGGCAGTTGTGTGGGTGTCCTTATTTTCTCCCCACCGTATTCTGTTCCCGCCATAAGGATGCAAAGTGATTTCCCAGGCTAGATGCCCGCAAGTCGATAAAGTGGGGTGACTGCTCTGTGACCTATGGGCCCTGGTGGCAGCAGCTTAAACAGGGGAAGTGCGTCAACACTGTGCTCAGGCGAGAGGAAGGGGCCTATGAAAGCTTTGTTCTCCCTCCACCTTGCGAGAGAAGCGTTTCCAGGGAGCAGAGGAAGCAGGAAAAGGGCAGCACCCAGTTGGGCTGTAGGGGTGGGGGTGAGACGGAGGATGAATGTGACAATCACGTCACCCCAGCTGCCCCTGCTCCATCCAACCCCACAGTGGGCCATGCAGCTGTCACCTGTGCTACATGAGCACGTGCAGACAGCTTGAGTGCTCTGCCTCAGTTTCCTTAACTGCCAAATGTAGGCCATCACCACATCTATCCCATCAGGCCTTAGGAAGGCTGAATGATGACTCAACACAGGTAAAGTGCTTGAATTAGTTAGTACCTTGCATGGTATGTGTGTTCAGTGTGAGTTTCTGCTCACAGTCATTGTCGTCATCATCATCGTCATCATCATCACAGGCAATGCCCTCTTCCCCTTGGCTCTGTTCTGTTATACTGTCAAACACCACAGAGCATTGAGGCTACTGAGCCCCAACACACAACTGCATCGGCTGCAGCCCAGGGTCACTTGCAGAGATGCGGCATCCACCACAGTGTAAGATGGCTGAATCGCAGCCTAGAACCTCTGTGCTCTGTGGACTCAGAGCTCCCCACCACACCTAAGACACCTCTGACTTGGAACCTTGCAGTCCCCACCTGCCTCTGCCCCCTGCTCATCCTGCCACAGAGCAAGTACATAGTGTAGGGACAATTGCTTTGGTGCCTTGCCCAGCTCAGCTCTAGCCGAGTTCCACTCCCTGCCCCCCAAGTCTGGACTGAGCCACAGGAGTGGTTGTGGCGTGGCCCCTGCAGCCAGTCACAGCCCTCAGCACAGAAAATGGAAGAGCCATCAGCTATCCCGAAGGACTGAGCTGGCATCTCTGAGTCTAAACAAGGTCAATTTAACATGTGACACTTGCGTCAAGAGCTTCCATGCAGAAAGGTACGCAGGCACGTTCTTTTTTAGCTTTACACCCTTCCCTATCCTGTCTCAAATCATAGAGGGTGTGACCTGTGAACTATGCAACACACCCCGTGTGACTCTGCACACATGACCTGGCCCTGCTCTCTACTCCTTGGCTCCCCCCGGGCTGTCAGGAGTGGATGTGTGTGGCCCAGCATGGGCCCTGGCCCTGCTCTGAAGACCACCAAGCACACTGTATGACCCAAGAACCACACAACGGTAAAAGTTCTTACTTTCTGGGAACAAAATCCAGAGCATGTCTCCACAGTCATGTTGGCCTGTGTCAGGGAGGACGAGAAGGTGTGGGTGACATTTTCTGGCAGCGGGAAGCACCCTCGGTAAGTGGCAGTCCGCCCTGTAGGGAAGGAAATGGGGTTTGGATGAGAAGTGGTATCTGTGGTTGGGTTTGGGTCCTGAGATGTATGTGAATAGACTCAGGGGGGCAGATATCATGAGAGAGAGAGAGAGAGAGAGAGAGAGAGAGAGAGAGAGAGAGAGAGAGAGAGAGAGAGAGAGAGAGAGAGAGAGAGAGAGAGAGAATTGATATGGGGCCGAGGCAAGCACCTGAGAAACACCTGCCGTGGGAACCATGGTCACCCAAGTCTCTGACAAAGGTCACCTGGCTGTAATGCTGACTTAAGGGGCCACTTTTCCTGCCATATCTCTGGGGGTGGGAATGGGAGTGAAGGGATTCGGTAGCTGTTTTCTTTCCCTCATTTTACATTTATTTCATGCTAGCTTACACAGTAGGTGATCTGGCAGGCTGATGATCTGGAAAGTTCTGACTCTGGAGAATATGCATTAAAAAAAAGTAAGTGGACTTGGGTATCTGGACTGCCCATTGCCTCTTGCTGTGCTGGGGCAGACAAGGCACTCCTGGGCTTCCTAGCAAGACTTCCCTCACTCTCGTCTTGAACTCCTGCCCAGGTTCCAGGGCTACCCCCAATCCCATGTCACGAAGGAATTTTCTTGCCAAGTTGTTCTTCAACCTTCTGGTGGAAAAGCTCAGCTTGCTTTTTGGTTCCCGTGGTACTGAGCAAACCTTCTGGAATGTTCCAGTACCAGCTGCTTAGGGATAAGTGTCTTGAGATAGCATCTGATTCCCATCCCACACTCCTTTTCATATAAGGTCTCCTGAGGCTTGACATCTGCCCTCATGCTTTCTCTACCTGCCACATCTCCTACTCAGCAGCACAAACTCTCAGAAGCCTCGGTCAGGGCAGGAATTCTTCGTTATAAACTGTTAAGTCATGCCAAGTTCTGGACCTGGAAGCCCATCCTGATTGACCACAGAACCAGGGTCCTGGAAATCAATTCATAGAGCTAGGAAGGAAGGCCACCTCCTGCAGAGGAAACAGCCATCTTCCAGTCCTCAGGACCTAGGCTGTCCAGCCTGTGACAAGCCCTGTGTCACAGACTCAAGGACTCTTCCTCCCTGACAGCTCTGAGGACTGTTATGGAGGCACTGTGTGTCCCAGTATCAGCTCCTACAGCTGTATCCTCCTGCCTCACATACACCTGCTCAGGACTGTGGTGCAATAGCCAAGGCCAGCCTAGTCCTGCCCACAAGACTACGCCATCCTGTGGCAAGGCCAGGCCACAAAGACTTAGCTCAAGAACAAAGAAAGAACTCAATCACAGACATGGGACAGATGCTGAGGATACAGGCTAAGGGGCATGAGGGAAGGGAGGGTCATTAAGGAAGGCAAAGCATAGGAGAAGGAGAGTAACCAGCATCCCAGGGAGTCCAAGCCATGGCAGGGCTGGGGGGACAATGGGGGTTATGAGACTCCAGAATGGAGCTCCCAGAGGAGGCTTCTGTGTGTGGTTCCCTTGGCTCCCTGCAACCAGCCTCAACACTGAAAAACAGGAGATGCCAAGGGTGCTGAGTGAGTGAAAGAATGGAATGAGGTATGGTATCTGGGGGCGTGGCTTAGCATAATCTAGAACAGGGAAGCAACCCGTGTGTCTTGGTGGTCACAGAAAAGGTCTGTGCACCTCACTGATATGACTGTTTGTGGATAATGCCATTAAGTGTAGAGTACTCTACAGCCCTCACTCTTTATTCCCAGACGCGAGAACTGAGGCCATGCAGGGCAGAAGAGCATTGTCAAGGGAAGACACCGATGAAGTGTTATGACTGACCCTGATGCCAACTTGAAGGCAAGGGCAAACCTGTGATTTTGTCCTAGCAACCGCAAGCTGCAATTTACAAAGGATGGCCACCTGATCACCTCTGAAAGCCTGTTAGCATAGCTCCTGGAGAGGGGAGCAGAATGCAAGGGTCAGCCACACAGCTGGCTGCAGAAATGGCATTGACACCACCGCCAACATGAACCATGACAGCAGCTCTGGCCCACTCCAGATCAGAGGCTGGCCTGAAAGACCGGACCAGCTGTCCCCCAGCCAATCAGAAGCAGAGGAAAACAGCTGTCTCTAAGTCCCTGACTGAGATGGAAGTTGGTAGGGTGGCCTAGAGTTCACCTCAGGCCTGATCCTGCTGGAGCTCAGGGGTAAGGGATCAGGGATCAGGCTAATAAATTATCTAAGGTGAAAGAAATAAAAGACCCAAGAAGTGAGTATGGGACAGTCCAGTCCTCAGAAAGCCTATGCAAGTGTCCAAGTGACAAGGTAAATGTCACATCTGGCACACACTAGGTGTTAGTGGCTTTCTGTTGAATTAATGTACTCATTAGCAAATCCTTGAGCTCGTATATAAGTGTCAGTGTCTTCATTACAAGCTATCTAGACTTCTTGGCTCCCAGACACATCTATCAGATGCAGGAAGGATCTGAATATCTCTAGCAGTCAGAAAAGAGTTACTTTTCCCGACCTCTGGCCCTATGCACAGTGGCTGTCACCCACCACTGTCCTCAGGGCTGGGCTATTTCTTCTCAAGTTTGTACTTTTGAAGTGTATGCTCAACTTTGGTGAGAATTTATCTATGGGAACACTTAGACCCTTGGTTTGTTGGCATAGCTCTCCAGAGAGAGATTTTGTACTTGTTTCTGAAAGATCCTCCAAAAAACTCCAGAACCAACTTTCATGTTAGAGCTCGCAAGGCTAAGTAGATAGTATAAAGCTGACCCCCAAATACACACAAATGTGGAGCTGTAGTTATATTTTTCAAGTCTTATTTTATCTCCTCAAACCAGTTTCATCCCCTCAAATATACCACCTTAGTGCTAGACACCTAACTCTATTCAAAGAAGTTAGAGAATGTACTGGAAACCAGCGAAGAGAAGTGAGTCATTTGTGACCACATGGCAAGTCTAGGCTTCCTTTTCAGCTTATTCTGAAAGGGACAAGGGAAAGTGTGCCTAGTCATGAACCCAGCCAGTGACAGTCTTTGATGACCCTCGCTCCCTGTGTCTGCAGCATGCCAGGAACCAGTAAGCGCAGGTGGCAGGGAAGGGGAGCTCCGATTCTGCCCTACGGGCTGAGGGTAGGGTGAGTGGGACATGGGTGACATAAAGCTCGGGGTGGTGCTGTGCACTCACGCTTCCTGGAGCCCTGCTGCTGCAGCCCCGCGCTGTACACGGACAGCCGACGAACAGCCCCGCAGACGGTGCCCTTCTCCCCCTTGCACTCATGGTTACATTCCTTCAGGTTGACACGTGTGGCTGGTAGCCGGTTCCCACAGTAGCACTCTGCACCAGCCTCCAAGCCAGCATAGACATAGGACCTGCAGGGACACAGAGTGTGAGTGAGTCCAAGCTGGGTCTGGAGCTAAGGCTGGAGTCCAAAATATGGAAAGGTCAGAGTCAGGTGATGGTAGCTGGGTCTTAGGAGTGGACTTGAAACTGCGATGAGGTCTGAGAGAGTAGGCAGGGGTATGGCCATCAGTATGGCCTAGGGCAGTGGTTCTCAACCTGTGGGTCCCTACCCCTTTGGGTTCAAATGACCTTTCATAGGGCTCAAATGTCATATATCCTGCATATCATAAATTTACATTATAGTTCATAACAGCAGCAAAATGACAGTTATGAAGTAGCAACCAAATAATTTTATGGTTGGGGGTCACCACAACATGAGGAACTGCATTAAAGGGTCACAGCATTAGGAAGGTTGAGAACCACTGGCCTAGGGAATCAGGCTCCATCCAGAACTAAATGTTATCTAAGTACAGGGAATAATGTTTTCTTTGGAAGAAACTATTAAGCCCCATGGATTTGTCTTGTCAGTTTTAAGACTGAACTTCAGTTTCATGTATGGTCTCAAGTTACAAGGGATTACATGAGTGCTGTGTGGGGGTGTGATTCTTAGTAGATGTGCAGAGTTCTAGTGCATAGTGTTTGCCAACCGCTGTGGTGTAAACACTCAACAGACGACCTCAAGCTGCTAACTACAGGTTCACAGGTGGAGATTAAAGTGTGCCCAGCTCCAGCCCTGCACTGGCCTGAAGCCCATGCAACAAGTGACACTCCAGAGCCCTGCTGCCCAGCCACCTTCTCCCCCTCCTTACCCACAGGCCCCACTACAGCAAGATAGAGTAACACAGGTGAAACAGACCCCACAGGGTATTACATAGGGTCACAGCTAGAGAAAGTGGACCATGTATTCACTGAAATCCCTTTCTGGTGTGAAAAGCCTAGAAGGAAAACTCCACAGAGTGATGAAGTCCCATTTGCCTGCTTATGAGATGGTAGATGCTTCCACTTGGTACCTGTGAGCCTCAGTTCCCTTAAATACGAAGGGACTAAAATGAGACATTGGCATCCTCATGTTCAGCCTCACCTTTCTCTGAGCTACCAAGCATGGGAAAGGTGGGTCCTGTCTTCGCTTTCTCTAGGTATAAAATGGGGGGTGGGTACTTCATGACTACCTAAAAGAATGGGGTTGGGCTCGACTTACAGCAAACAATGTAAAGAATCTAAAGTGATCGAGATAGGCAAAGAGTGCTGTGTGTTCCCACTGCTCTGCCTGTCCTGATGGTAGAGGCCACTCCCTGGCTCATGACAAATGTCTGATAGTCTCAAGGAAATTATCTAGCAGTATCTAGAAAAGCAAATTTTGTTGTAAACACAAGTAGAAATGGTTTTCCTAACTGTGAAACTGGACCTCAATATTCCTTTATTTTACTTTCTAAACAGATGAAGAAACTGAGGCCAGGGACTTGAGTATCTGAGTTTTTGATGGGCCTTTACCCTCCTCTATAGCCTACTCATGGAACTCCCCCAGGTCACAGGGAGAGTTCCTAGCAGAGCCGGAATAGAAGCCAAATCTCCAGATACTTCCCAGCACTTTGGTCATATGCTGACAAACTTTCTCCTGGAGACCAGGTCTGATGAATTGAGGTTGTAATGATATCAGGGACAGCCAACCAGCAACCATGATGCCCCCTGGTTTTGAGTCTGTCTTTTAGCCTTGTCCAAGTGCAGTCAACAGCCTGGCTCATCACTCACCGCTCAGCACAGGCCTCCTGGCAGTGGGACACGGTCATCTTCCTCAGGTCATAAAACACTGCCCCCTTCAGAGTCCTCTCCTGGCCCTCCTCACTGAAGCATCCCAGGTAAGTGCCTGCAAAGAGGGAGCGCAACTGAAATCACAGGCCCAGGAGTCAGGGAGGTCCTCTAGGCCTGGACTCTGGGAAAGTCGGCTTGCCTGAAACCAGTGAGGAAAAGGAGGGATCGCCAGCCCTGCCTGGCCCACGTGCTTCTCTAACGAGTAGAGGAGACGAAAGCTGCTCTTCAGCTTCCCCTCAGCACAAGAGCCAAGTGGGCGGCTGGGCAGCTTTCTGCTCCTTTGCTCGGTTAGTGGCCTACTATGTACCCAGGTAATGACCTACTGTGCACCCAAAGACAGTGCCAGAAACCTGGAGCCAGCCTGACTGCAGCTTTTCTTCACCATTCCTCTTCCTTGTGCCTGATCTGATAAATATGTATATGGGTACACTGTGATGATCAAATATATGTGTGCAATGATCCAATCAGGGTCGTTGAGAGAGACCTTGTAAACACTGCTGGTTTAATTGCCTCACCTTTCTCTTCCCTTCCTAGGCTCTACTATGGGCCCTGCCAAGACACAGTTCTATCACATTCACATGAGCCAGAGAGAGGACAGGACCCAGGGGAAGTCTGGAATTAGTTAACCTAAGACTTCATAAGCAGGGGCCTCTTTAAAACAACCAATCTGCAGTGTGTTGCTAGCACATGTAAACAGTCTGTCAGTTTTGAGACAGGTGATCACGTAGGAACTGATGTAACCAAGAGACCATGGAGCCCTCTGACATACTCTCAACACTTCCCTGGTCAGGGACACTTGGGGATGACTTCATAGGGCAGTGGCACAACAGACCCAAGCATGCACACACAGTTAGGAGTTGCTGATAGCCCTGCCTGTCCCTGGCAGGAAGGAGATGCCTCCCAGACTTGCAGAGAAACTTGGAGAATGCAAGTGCAGTCCCAGGTATGTAAATGTCACACATATCACAGTGTTTTGAAGAAATGGCATTTGGGAATTTGCAAACATACTCTCACATGGTCCCCAAACTGGGAAGGCACATCCACAGCTGCTATGTTGGGAACTGGATAGGACAATGTACACTGTCTGAGTGTGCGTGTTCTGCTGCTCAGGACCTCAGAAATGTCACCTGGAGTCTGCACCAGAAACACGTGTCAGGTTTCCCATGGCTTCCCAGGCCAGAGAAGAGGGAGGTCATGGTCCTTCACAAGGAATGATGGCTTCTTCTGAGCAGTGTGGGGAAGGGCTCCATGCCCATTCATTCCTGAAGCAGGGAGGGCCCTTCAGTCTGTGGGTTCTGCCACAGTAAAGGTTCCTTTGGGCTCTGCTGGATCATCCTGATAGGCCATGCCTCGGTCTCCCCAACTGTCAGGTGGATGCGTGCCCACCTTTGCTCGGGATCAGTTTCCCCTTCCCATCTAGTCAGAGCTCTTCATCTGTCCTAAGGCCAGGACGGTTTCCCTGTCACTCCAGCTCTCCACAGGGCCTCGGGACTCAAAGATGTTACAAAAATACAGGCAAATTAATGACTGGGGTTGTCAGCCAAAGCCCAGTCATTCACTTGATGTTAAAATCTAAACCTAAACCCTCTTAGAGGCCAGGGACAACATCTTTACCCCAAGTGACTCACCAGGGTTCGTCACAGTGTCAGTGTTATCACCTAAAACAGTGGGTCACAGCTCCAACAAACCACACTGGTAGTCCCAAAGCCTCAGATATAAAGCAGAGGAGCCTGGTACAAGAAGGGTGACCCAGCTGACCATACCTGGCTCTAAGTTCCAGGGGCCTAAATTCTTAGAGCAGATGACAGCCATGACAGCAGGAAGCTGCACTTTCACCATCTAGAGCTCCAGGGAATCTCAGGTCAGAAGATGCCAGGAAGAGGAAGCCAACAGCCACCCTCTTGGATATGGCTGGCCCCTTCTCAATTCCATGCCTCCTGAGGCCACCCCATGGAGGGTTTGACATCAACACATGTGGCCAACCCAGTACGCCAATCACAGGCACCTATTCCCTGGTGGGGGCTATTTCCCTGGTATGGATCCTTGCAAACTTCTCTCTCAATTGCTTCAGGACTCCCAAATTCATCATATATGGCTGCAGAAAACACCTACCCAGAGCAGCCAGCGTGAATTATTCTCTGTTTGCCTACTTAGTAAAAGAAAGGCCAGGTCTGAGAAATTTCCTATGTGTTGGTTGGCACAGAAGAAAAAAGTTCATCGCAGCGTTTGATTAAACATTCCAAGCACAA